TTGGGGAACCATATTTACCTAGTCGTCTGCATTAGTTTCTTAATGTGTGGGTCCTGAACAACTGGCTGATGGGGTATGTATGAAAGTGTGGTTTTCAGAGCTTCATTCTAGACCTACTTTACAAGCTTCTCCAGTGAAGGGACTCAGAAATTTGCCTTTTAATCCAACTTTCTGATTATTCTTAGAGACACTGAAGTAAAATGCTGCTTAGAAATTCAAAGCACTACCAAAGCAGATACCAGAAAGATGTGCACTTGAATCATATTATTTTGACCCATGCAGAAGAAATGCTTTCACCAAACTAAAACTGGTACTATACCATTATCTTACATCTAGAATTAACATAAGAATCAGTCATGGAATCCACTATAACATTTTTGTAAGGATATTGTATTGTTTCCCCTAATCTCTCTCTTACCTACACGAAGCCCCATACGGAATTTTTATTTTTAGAAGTCACTCCTAGAAAGGCTTTGTTTTCATGCGACGTGGATACACTCCCTCATCACGCACAATGAGAACCAAGTCATTGGCTTACTGACAAAAGAAAAAAGTTTTATTTCTCTCCACCCTGGACCTGACCTTCCATTCCAATATATAACTTATACGGTTGTCTTCAAAACAGAGCCTGAGACAGAGATTCGAGTGCATGTGATATTTGGGGGAGTGCACTCAAGAGAAAGGGAGTGAGGGAAATGGGAGAGGGTAGAGGAAGGCGCTAAGCAAGGATGCGGCCTCAGCTGGAGCCTCCGCCTCAGCCTGGGCGCACAGAGCGCTCTGGAGTATAAGTTGCAGCACAGAGTTAGTGCCCTTTAATGTAAAGACGTCTGCGTTTCCGTTATCCTCATGGCAGTGATTGGCTGTGGGTTGCCCACACTGGGGTGGGGCTGGAGCTGGGTAACCTCCCAGTGGAGTGGCTTCTGATCTGCATAAGGATACTCTCCAGAAAAGGGGTGGCTGTGAACTGTTAGCACCCAGAGCAGCTGGGGACAAGGTCACTGGCCCAGTAACACCAAGAGTGTCCACCAGAGTTGTCACGTACATGTTCATTCGTGTTTTTGTATTTTAATGCATGAATTAGTTATATTTGTCCTTTCCAAGAAGAAAGGATGTCCTGGGAACATATGTTAAAATTAACAAACCCAAATGAAGCAGTGTAGGCAGCGCTAAAAAGATACAAACATATATATGCTTTGCAGATGAAAACTGTTTACCACAAAGTGTACACAGTAATTACTATAGCACCAGCCCACAAGTAATGTTTAATTGACATCTATGCTGCATACATTCCAAGACCTTCTTATTTAACTCATACGAGAGATTTTTGACTTGCAATGAAATATTCCTAACCTACATATATTGTCTAAAATGGGGATAATATTTAGGAGTATTTTTTTTTTAACAATATTGACTGTAGTGACTTCAACTTCTCATTATTAATGTGCAGATTTCTTTTTTTTTGTTTTTTAAAGATTTTATTTTATTTTATTTTTTTTCCTTTTTCCCCCCAAAGCCCCCCGGTACATAGTTGTATATTCTTTGTTGTGGGTCCTTCCAGTTGTGGCATGTGGGACGCTGCCTCAGCGTGGTCTGATGAGCAGTGCCATGTCCGTGCCCAGGATTCGAACCAACGAAACACTGGGCCGCCTGCAGCGGAGCGTGCGAACTTAACCACTCGGCCACGGGGCCAACCCCAAATGTGCAGATTTCTAGTGTCAGCGATTCCTACATTCATTTGTCCACCCAGGACCCCTGACCTGAGCTCATTTATTTGAACTGCCCATTAAGGGTTTTCATTTTGGTGCCCCAGTAGGTGTCTTAATTTCAAAACATCAGTCTCCCCTCAAACCTTCTCCCCCTTCCCTCTAGCCCCATGATTCTAATCCTAGCTAAGGCACCAGCCTCCACCCAGTGCACCCACCCAGTGTTCCTCGTATCGTTCAGACTTGGATCCCTTTCTCAGGGACCACTGCAGGATTGCTCTGATTTCCTGGTACACATCTCATCTCTTCCCCTTCAGCATCTATTCTACACTTTTGCCAGAGGGAATGTTCTAAAAGTACAGATCTATTCACTCTCTGTTTTAAAGTTTGAAATGACTTTCCATCGCCAAAACCAAAATTCTCAGGAAGGCATCACCGTTCTTTCTGGGGAGTCTGGCTCCAGGTTGAAATCTTGTGTGTGATCTTTCAGGCCCAATCAAAGGCAATTTCAAGGCTTTGCCTGGCAGGCACTTAGGCCCTTCTCTCCACTCTGCCTCAGTAACTTTCCACTTCTGGCTCTTCCCCCATTTTTCCCCCTCAGCCTCTGGGTCCATAAAAAGGCATGAGCCTTTTGTTCAGGGCGCCTCAGCACTGAGAAGATTCCCTGCATCTGTGCTGCCTGTCATTGTCTCACCCATGGCCTGCCATCGCCTGCCATCGCCTAGAGAGTAGACATTTATTCGGCTCATTATTTCTAGTGACTGGAACATTAAAGCCCCTAGAAAAATGTTGACTTGATAATCCATGAGAAGAGTAACATTCCGTTTGCACATACAAGTAATCATTGAAGAGATTCATACACTTGGCTAATCCACTTGTATGTATCTAGACTTTGGCAATATTAAACTTTCTCAGTGCATGCATAAACTCTGAATTGCTGAACCTGACTGAGAAACAAGATGGGTTAGTTAGATGTCTTAACAGTATCTTGATGCTATATCTTTCCAACTCTGAAATACCTGGACAATGATAAAATTTGAATCTGGACCAGACATTGGCACTTACTGATGCTCGTTTAAAATTTTTAATAAAAGTCCACAAACACACAAACAATCTAATGTCAATAGCATTTAAAAGTCTAAAATGTTTTTTAAACAAAGTAGATGGCATGATAGAAACATCTACATACTACTCTCTGTTAATTGTCTAGTATAAAAAGGGATACTATCTACCAATGTCAGGCATCAATGGAATGAAAACTAATGTTTACTCTATAGAGTTAATTTCAAAATTATACCATGTAAATGATTAATGTTCTCTATTGGATACAGTTCAAAATGTGCCCAATAATGGATTTCTTCCCAGACTGCTTACAAATGTGTTTAAGCATGAAAAAGCTAAATTTTATTTGGCAAGGATAATAAATGTGCATTTAGCTTTCTACTAATAAAAGGCATCCGTTTATTAGAATTAGTAAATACTTTTACAATTAATTTCTAAACAAATTTTCAGGATTCAATTATAACTGAAAAGCTTTGATAGTATCTATTGTGAGCCAAAATTTGAAAATGAAAATAATGAAACTCTTGCTTACAAGGAGTAAGAATGCATAATGACAAATAAACTGAAAGTCTCTCTAGTTGAAGAACTGGTTTTGATTTTTTTATACACAATGAGTAACTAGTACCAGCTTGTCAGTTAATAGGAGAAATAACTGCTATTTGTATCCCACTTACTACTAAGCCATTAGAAGAGGGCAGATAAACATTTGTGGAGCTGAGAAAATTTGGGATACTTACACACAAGGATATTTCAGACAGTTACAATGGTTAAATCTCTGTTTTTATCGTCATTCATTTGTTCATTGTGTATTTTTTGCGCATCTACTACATGCACTTTGCTAGGATCTAGTACTTTTAGTACGTACTTTAAAGTAGTACTTTAGTAAGCTAAAATAAATGAATTACATTCTAGTGGAAAATAAAGATCATAATCAAAGAAGAATAGTGATGAATATCTAATCATAAATAGGGAAAGTAATAGGGTTTTATAGAGTGTGTTACAAAGGTACTTGGTGTCAGGAAAAGCTTTTCAGAGAAAGTGATAGTTGAGCTGGGTTATAAAGGATGAGTAGAGTCTGTTAGGTGAAAAAATCTGAGGAGGAAAAGGAGAGCAAGGATTCTAGGCAAAGGGAATGACATCGACAAAACCTTGCGATAGAAGAGAGAAATCCAATGGGGCTGGGATACAGAGAGGTAGAGAGTGATACAAGATGAGTCTGCAGAGGATGGCATAGGGTAGACCAAAAGAAGGCCTGGGGGCCATTTGAAGGGTTCTGGTCTTATTCTAAAAGAATGAAGAACAATTAGTGGATTTAAACTGGAGAGTAACACAATCAGATTTGCATATTAAAAAGCCCACTCTTGCATCAGTGACAAGAGCAGAGAATGATACAAAAGCAGTTAATAGAACGGGAGCTATGGTGGTGGCTTGGATTAAGGAAGTGGCTGTGTACACAAGATACATTCAGGGTGCAAGTCAGTATGGATTGGTGATAGGTGGCTATGGCAATGAAGGAGAGAAGATATCAAAGGTGTCTTGCTCGACCAGATGGATGGTGGTGCCATTCAGCGAAACAGGTGATGCCGAAAGAAGGCGAGGTCTGCGGAGAGATTTTGAGAGTCCTAGACATGTTGAGGTGCATTTGAGAAGTGGAAATATCCAATGGGAGTTAGCTGGATACAGAGATCAGAGAGAAATCCAAGTCTAAGAATGTAAAAGAAAAAGAATGAAAACTAGGCAGAGTTTTTGGTGAATGTACAGAAATACTTTGGAAAGGAATGACAGATTAAAAGAAAAACAGTTGTAAATTGAGACAAGCATCACACAGTGAAAATATAAGGAAAATAACAAATGGTTTTATGAATATTAAAAATAGTAAAAGCTGGGGCTTAGTGAACAAAAGGTATTGTGTCAAACGAAATAGCAGTGTCAAAACTCCTGGTCATTGGAACTAATCCCTGTCTTTTAGGAAGGGGTAGCCGAGATGCAGGTGGGTAAGTATCATGTGTGAAACAAAAGCTGTATAAACCTTTGAGGTAGGGTGAGATGAAGGAAGCAGAGGGAACTTCTGAAGTTTCCCCATAAAAAGATAAACTCAATAAGTCACTGTCAAAAGTTCCTATCAAAACTAACCATGTTACTCCATGCCATCTTGGAAACAACACACGACCATGTGCAAGGCCAGTAAGTTTCACTATAAAAGGACATTTAAGTAAACTCATGCTGAAGCAGAAATCATATATTAATTTTAATGGAGTTATGAGTATTCAAATAGAGACATCTTTTACTTTTTACAAAAGCAAATTTATACTCACATTTTAATAAGGAATGCAAACCACAAATAAGTTATGATTTCACTAGAACAGCAAACATTTATTTTAAAAAAGGAAAACAAAAATAAAAGTTGATCTAGGCCTCCAGTTCTTAGACATAAACAGCTATTTCAAGTCCGCAGAAAGTCTAAATTTGTTTTCTCGGTATTCCATCTAAAACTTCCCTTAGTCTGTTTGAACTTCTGGCCTTAAGAATCATAGGATTCTACAGAATTTTTCACACAAAGTGAGGTGGGATTTGGTCTTTCTTATATGTCACATGTTCCTCAGAATTTGAGAAAGCGACAAAGCCCTACACACTGCCCCCTCATTTTTTTGAAGACCAAGACACAAATTATTCAATTCCCCCTTGGCTTTAGAAGTTTAACTTTTCCCTGCATTGCAAGAGTGAAATATTATTGGCGAAAAAAAAAAGGGTGTGTGGTATGAACTATGTAGCAAAGTATAGAGATTTATGTAAGAAACTGAAAGAACTCCAAAATAATCACTTTTACATTTAATAGTTGTAAAGGAGATAGAGAGAATTCACATCTAAGATTTCAGATCAGAATTTCTGATCCTTGCTGGTTCTAGCACTTAATTTTTTTTCAAATATCCTTCAGGGAAAAACTACTCACTCTTAAACTGGTCCAATGAAAAAATAAACTCACTAGAAAATTCTAGACTATGTTAGAATCTTTATTAATGTTCTCTCTACAAGAAGTAAACAAAATAAAGCTGGAGAAAACAAAATTGATATAATATGCATGGTGTCTTAGCTCTTCCCCAATCCTGAGGATAATGTTGGGGACCAGTTTTAGGACACTTACTGAGCCTCAAGGTGCTTGGGAATGAAAAAATAAATTCATGTGAGATACTGACAAGGTACATAGTCCAAATATTTGCAGTATGAGGTCTAGAAGACTAGTTGCCAACTACCTTCTTTAGACTTCAACATTGCCAGGATGTTTGCTTTTTTTACAAGAATCTTCAGGTGCCTGTGTTCTGCATTCAGATTACTTCAACATCAAGACAAGGTCTAACAATGATACGATAAGATATTGATATGTTGTGATTTAATAGAAACTATCTTGAATCTATATGCTATTTAAAATATCATATTTCAAAAAATGAAATTTCAGGATATTTACTTTTGATTAACAGCCACCAAGAAGAATATTCTGCATGTATTTAACAAGGTTAGTAATACCGCATCAAAAATATTTCTTGTATATTGTGAGTGAAGGAGCCACAAAAAACTCAGCATGAAAAGTGACATCCTGGAGTTCTTCTTAGCCAGAATCAGACCTCAATTCTCAGCAGCAAGCAGGAGACTTTGAAAATGCTGACTTTAATTACAAACTTTATTTGTCAATACAATTCACAGTTTATACATGGTGCATTCCACCATAGGAACTTGCAGAACAGTTCTTGAGGAAATGGGTTTAGCTTTCTTTTTAAAAGAGCCTGACTTTCTAAAATTTTGGTTAGAATTTTTTAAGTTTATAAAAGTAGCTTCACAAGTTAACTGAATATTTACATTTCTAGCTTAAATTTAAATTTTGGAAAATAAGCATCTGTTAAGTTGTTGTTTTTTAAGATCCTGGTTTTCTTAGACCCTAATCTGAATGCCGCTTATTCAGATACCCCCCAAGAGTAAAAGAAATGTTTTGCAACTATATTTAGGGAAATCATTTTCTTTCTGCATTTTAAAAATTATATATACAATGTACAGTAGATCTAAGTATGAAAATAAAAGAAAGAGTAGCAATCCACTAGGTGCCTTTACTGAATTTGTTCTGAATCTTGGAAACATCCAAAGAGTTACAGGATATAAAATTAAACTAAAAAGGATTATCAGCCTTTTCTATCTAAAAAAAAAAAAAAAAAAAAGCTCTCAAAATGTCAATTGTGCTATTACAGCTTTTTCTCTAATGTCAGAGATGAATTATGCCTGCAATCTGCATTTTTCCATGTGCAAAATCACAGTGATCCCAGTTGCAACTTCTGCTCCCACATTCAGCCACAACTGCAGAGGTACACCCACAGAAGGCTAGGACTGTGCCCAGCTCTGACTGCCACATCACCTCCTCTGGTCTGGCAAAAGTCACCCACGGGAAAAAATCATATAAGCCTTTCATACATCAAAAAGCGAATAGATGCTGGCAGTATAATGTTTATTAGCAAATGTTCATAACACATTGTTCTGCTATCTTCTTTTCATCAGAATGGTAATTCACACCAGTTGTCTTAAATCACCTCCAATAAATATCCATTTTTAACAGTTTTCTTCTGTCAGATCATTTATATATATATATATATATATATATATATATATGTGGATTTTCTTCTTCCACTATTAAAAAAAAGTATAGTTATTAATAAAAGATAAGTTCTAAATACTGCCAGGAAAAAAGAGACTGTTTGGGAGCAGCCAATTTCACCGGCCTGGTAATAATTACACTGTATATATGTACCATTGGTACCTGAGTCAAATAAATACTCAGAGGGGCCACCTTTGCACCTCATTTCTCTGCAGTGCCTTTAACGCTAGGGTTTCTGAGTGTTGCTTCAAGGTCCATCTAATTTGGCATCTATTCCTTCTTCGGGCATCATCATTTCGGTCATGTTATACACTGTTTCCAGCAAGGTACGGTATTCAAACGGGAGCTGTGGGATAAAGGACTGCAGAGGTGAGCCTAGGGGTGGGGCGGGAAGGAGAAACCACACATTAGCTAGAGAGGTTCTGTTTCTTCATAAGATAAGGCACTGACAGAAAATTTCTTAGGTAAAAGGCTGCATAAGAATTTCTTGTCATTTACAAAAAGACATGTTGTCATCCATAAACGGTCCATATCTAGGCTCAGTTAGGTAGACCCTGAAAAATTAAGGACTGATCCCTCAAAGCTACATTATTACCAGAAACAATTATAATTCATTCTGAGGCCTTATGGCACATTAGGAAAAAAGGGAGGCAAACAGTCTGGGCACAAAAAGGCATGAGACATTGCTTGTTTTATTCCACTCATCAAAGAAAGTGGACCGTTCAACAAGCATCATCAAAAATATAGTGCTGGCTCAGAATTCCAAACTCTCTTGATGGTAGATGACCATGATGGGTGTATCTATTTTTTCCCCCTTTGGAGCTCATGCACAATTTTAAAAATGCTACCAGCAACAGTCATAAAGAGCATATAGAAGTCCTCACCTATGGCTATGCCTAAGGCTCTTCAAAGAGAGGGCTATTTAATGTTCTCAATAACAGCAATTTCCTCGCCTGCACAGTGTGGTGTCAATCCGTTCAAATAGATACTTTCAGTTTTCAGTAAGGGAGGCAAGACATCCCTCTCGCTGGCTAGGTGGTTCACTGACAGGGTCCTCCTACAAGGAGTGAGCTCCTGGTTGTGGTTCCCGGCCAGTTCTGCGGAGAGCTTCCGCTTGATGGAGGTGGCGCGCTGGAACTTGTCATAAATTTCCACACTCAGCCGCCTCCTGGTTTCCTTGAATTCGGCTGTGACGTTGGCTGTCCACTCAGCAGCATGGGCTCTGAACTCTCCCACCTGGAGCATGCATGCAGAGAAAAGACAAAAAGATACCCATGTGACCACCGTCAGCATTCTGTGTGCTTTATCTTCGGATCGTTTTATTTTAATGTTTTAAAAAGGAAGATTGTAGTCTTTTATAATATTGGAGGTCTGAGCCAACGTAATTAGGCAAGTTGTGCAGGGTAAGATTACATTTCATATAGATATGGCTGTAAACGTTAATCTATGAACTTAAACTTACCTCTCTAAACCAAATTATATTAGAGGGACTAGAAGTGCTTGTTTTCTGTATGTGAATCCTGTCATTGAAACTTCTGATGCTGTAAAGAGGCAATCTTTAACGTTTGTGTGGGTGTGGTGAGGAAGATTAGCCCTGGCTAACACCTGTGCCAATCTTCCTCTGTTTTGTATGTGGATGCCTCCACAGCATGGCTGAGAAGTGGGGCAGGTCCGTACTCGGGATCTGAACCTGTGAACCTGTGAACCGGGGCTGCCGCAGCGGAGTGCGTGGAACTTCAACCGCTCAGCCACGGGGCCAGGCCCAATCTTTACCTTTTTAAAACTTCATGAGGTATTTTTTTTTCCTCTGTAATTTCAAGGAGTACTTGAATGTCGAAAAGGCAGTAAGACATAATAGAATCAGTAAGACAGAGTAAAAGCCTGGAATGGGAACCCAGGTGACCTGGTTAGTCTTGATAGCAGCGATGTAAAAATCCAGATTTCAGAGGCCAGAAATGGTACGTGCAGGAACTTTGTATCCCCCCCCACAATACCGGTCATTTAGGAATTCTCTAGTCACTCAATAAGCAATGAAATATTTTGTTTCTGCTGTCAGGGAAAGCAAAGATATGAGAACTGGCAAGCCCATTTGGAGAACGATTAAATTCAAGGAATAGTTTCTTAATGAATGATTGTGGAATTCGTGAAGCTACTCAACCTGTCTGAGCTGCCATTTGCCTAGCTGTGGACCAGGTGTCTTCACAGTACACACCTAACATGGCTGGGCCACTGTACTTCACCAACTACAAAGAGAGTAATGAATACATCGCTATAGACAATTCTCCAAGGTCAGGATTTTTTTATTTTAAGGACTGGAAATAAGTAATTCTTTATATTGATGGCCTTGGTTTGATTTTTGAAGGACTGTCCTTTATTTCTCTATTTTTTTCCTCCTTTTTTTCAAGCTTTGAGTTTGAGTGGCTATGTTCTAAGCATCCAGGGGGCGGGAGAAGGTCGAGACCCTCCAGTTCCAGCTCCATCGCTCACATTGGGTGTGCCACAGGAAAGCCATTTTACCTTTCTTGAGCTTCAGATTACTTATCTATAAAATAAGGATAACAACGATCTTTTCACAGGGGAAACAAGCAGTATGTGCGTGCTCTTGAAATATAAAGGTCTACACAACTACTAATTATGATCATGAGGCTGGTGATGATGATACGGCTTGCCAAGGGTACTTTCAGAGCTGAAAGGAGAGTACTAGAGAGAGAAAAAGCAATATAGCATTGAAAAACTGGGACACATCTCCCAGGAATATAATTCACAAATTCGAAGGTCTCTTTGCGTGTCTCACCAGAAATGCAAGACTGCCTAATCCCTGGGTTTACAGATTTTTAAGTCCTGAGGTGCTTTGAGCTTGTTGAAGGCATCCCTAAAACATATAGCTCAACAACATCCTGGCCTGATAATATTGGATGATGCATTACATCACTCAGAGGAAGGCCAAGGCAAGAGAGAGCTGACGTTTACCTTATCCTCTTTATGACAACCGGAATAATATTGTAAAATATAATAACGAACTCAATACATAACTCAAATATTTACTCATGATAAAAATAACTCTCATTATTAACACAGGTCCATGTCATGGGGTTTCGTATGTATATACTGCCTACTATGAGCTGGGGATTTGCTTTTTTTTAAAATGCTAATTTATTTAATCATTATAACAACTCTGTGGGGAGGATTCTATTCTATCGATTATATCTCCCATTTCAAGAAGAGGAAACTGAGGCTAGAGAGGTTAAAAATCTTAAGACACACAATTCATATGCAGGGGAGCTGGGGTTCAAACTTGGAGGCCTAGCTCCAGCCTATTATTCTACCTCACCAGTAAATCTTATTAATTCTAAGGACTATACATCTTTTGGAGGTGTACAAGGCAAATTCACACTATATGGAAATCCATCTTAAAGAAGGTAATATTAGGGTGAGGATAGATTGCCATAATTTCCTAAAGAGACTAAAAAAAACAAAAATTGACTCATAAAAGTATGCACTAGAACTACTTATCTAAACCAACGATGGTATCTGTTCCCTCTCTATTGTAACTTATCTTTCTACTATTTGTGACAATACTGAACTTAAAGAACATTACTTTATTTTATGTTTTTTGCAGGGAAAGATCTGCCCTGAGCTAACAACTGTTGCCAACTTCCTCTTTTTTTTTCCTCCCCAAAGCCCCAGTACATGGCTGTATACCCTAGTTGTAAGTTGTTCTGGCTCTTTTATGTAAGCTGCCACCACAGCATGGCAACTGAGATGGGTGGTGTGGTTCTGAGACCGAGAAGTGAACTCGGGCCACTGAAGTGGTGAGCAATGAACTTTAACCACTAGGCCATCAGGGCTGGCTCCTGCTATATTCACTATTGATTGAATAACACAAAGTGTCCTAAAGTACAGATTCATATCTGTCAGTGGTGATAAAACTGTATATTCAAACTCTGAAGGTGCTTTTTTGTTTTCAAAGAAATTTTTTAAAAAGGTCCTGAAAATATCACATTTATACAAATAAACTTTTTCTTGATTGAAATGCTAAATCTTTGTGGGGTTCTGGATAATTAAAATTAATCCTTATGCATTAAAACATTTTTGTTTCATTGGATTTTTATAAAAAATTCTTTCCATATTTCAATCAAATAGTATCTCATCTCCCTAAAACTAAGCAATCTACACAACTAACAAAGTTGAGGACCCAAAATGAGCAAAAGTAGCTGCTGAAGGATCACAATGAATGTTCCTACAGCTCATGCACTTGACTCAAAGAAGAGGTCTTCCCCGGGATTCCATGTATTCTTGATTTTCACATAATTCTCACAGCCCAGGTGTTCTGATTTACAGGAAAAGAAAGCAATTGGAGTGCTACAAACAGTCACTTGCCCTCTAAACTCTACTGGAACTGCTCTAATCCATGTCACTAAATTCAGTGGACCATTTCTCTGTCCTCATCCTGCCTGATCTTCACAGCCGCATGGCTGACTTCTCCCTCCCTCGCAATCAGTCTTTGCTCTTAGATTCCAAATGAGTCCACTCTCATGGTGCTGTCTTACAATGCAGGTTAATTCTTCTAAATCAACTTTGCAGGCTCATTTTCTTTTACCCTCCCCTTGACTACCTTTGTTCCTCAGGGTTCTATTCTTCTCATTTTCCCTGGGTGATCATATCCTTCCAGCTGTTTCAATTACCATCGATTTGTTGATGACTCCCAAATCCATGTTTCTCGGTCTAATCTCTCTATTGAATTCTATATCTGTATAACTGACTGCTTATTAAGCATCTTCACTTTAGATGACTTCCAGGCATTTCAAACTCAGCATATCTCCAAATGAAATCATTGAACTTCTCAAACCTGTTCTTACTTAATTTCTTATCACAGTCGAGAGCACCATTAACCACTAAGTTTCCCAAGCTGAACTTCCATATAAGCCTTTATTCTTCCTCTTGCTCAGTTTTACATCAAAACAACCCTAGGCTTGCCGATTTACCTCTGTTTCTCTCAATTCCTTTTACTTCCCTCCATTCTCATTGTCAAAACTGTGGCCCTGTCCACCGTTTTGTCTCACCTGCATTACCTCACCAGCCGCCTAAGCAGTCTTGCTGACTTAAATCCACCTCCCTCAAATGCATTCTCCACACAGCAGCCAGAATGCCCCTTAATAAACACAAATCGATCAAGTACTTTCCCCAGCATAAAACCATTCAATTGATTCCATTTCACTTAGGATAAAGTCAAAACTCTTTAAAATGGCTCATATGATTGTGGGCCTACCTACTGTTTCAGCCTCAGTCTAACCACCATCCTTCTCAAACTCTGCTCTTGGGGGCCATCCTGAACATTTATTTCCTCGAACATGCTACACTTCCTTTTGCCTTCATTCATTCATTACTTACTATTCTCTCTGTCTAGAATACTGCTTCCCCGTCCTTCTCTAGTACATCTCCCACTCATCCTAAACTAGACATCCTCATGGAGCCATTCCCCTGACCCCCTAGACTACATCAGGATCATGTGCTGTTTGTATCCACAATAGCCCGTACCTCCCTGGTATTACTCTCACCACAATTTATTACAACTAGTAGTTTAATTGCTCTCCTGGCTTCATGGCAGTAGAGAGGATATGTCTGCCATGTCCTCTTCAGTATTCCCAGAACGTGGAAGAGTGTACATCGTGGGAATTCAAGAAGCAGTTGTTGGACAAATGAATGATGCACAAATCAATCATGTTTTGGATACATTCTCTAGTAAAAAGTCGGCTTCCTGGTTGACTCTCATGGGTTAATCTCTATTCCTCTCAGGAGGGAGATGCAGCCAGGTCTATCCATAGTAAGGGTTCAAAGTATGTTTCCCCAAACATTTTCGTCTTTAGAGAGCCTCCCCACCATTCTAAGAAGCCTATGATGCTACTAATGTCTCATCATCAAAATGAAGAGCATCATGCCTGTTGTATAGACCCTATAAATCAGATTTCCTTTTCTTCCCCTTCTCCTTACCAGCCCCCTAACCTTTTTCATTGTCCTTAACACTTGGCATGACAATACCTGACTAGGCCATCCCAGAACCTGGGCTTCACCACCCTTATGGAATGTAACCTTTAAAGGTAAAGAAGGGTTAACACTTTTGCTTTAGAAGAATCACTAACATCTTTGTCAGCACCTACGAACACTTACTAAGCATCTAATTGCTTTTCACAGTAGCAAATCCTTATGATTACAGAGGCCCAGTATTTGCCTCCCTA